TATATTGCTCCTCCCTTCATCGTGGAGGAGAGAAAAAGAGGCTGCAGCCCACTACTACCATGTCCCAAGGGCCCCTTTGCTTGCTTTGCCTGCCTGCCCCTCCTGCTGCTCAGTACAGCTGTGGCTCAGTACCAGACCCTGACCAGCTGGGATCTCAACCCTTCCAGAGTCAAGAGGAGGATTGTGTGAAAGCTCTTCAACACTCTTATTCACTCTGCATTAGCTGAATTACACTGACTCTAACTACAACTGCCAAGGCTGCTGGTGGAGCTGAGGAAATCCTTTTTTTGAGATGGCTATGGCACCTCGGGCCCTGGCACTTCTGCTGCCCCTGGTGCTCATCCTGCTGAGCCCGGCACCGACTCCCACCCTGGGCGGATGCCCATCGGCTTGCCGGTGCTCTTTTGCCATGCTGCAGTGCCTGGAACCCAATGGCATAACCAGCATCCCGCCGCTTGCTTTGCAAGAGAGCGAGAACGTGACAGAGATGTGAGTACGATGTGCACCTGCTCTGCATGTTCCTCTGAATGAGCACGAGTGTGTCAGATGTGCTCACATGCTTCGATGTTGGTTGTCAGCCAAGCTTGATTTTCTCAGTTTGTGTTCACCTTATGTTGTCACTAAAATCTGTTTCAGTGCCAGAGTTTTGGTTTTAATGGGGCAATTTTCCAAAGCCTTCACATCTGATGTGAATTCTCACATTAGGGCCACATTTGTAAATAATTTGTGGGCTTTTTTTCAGTTTAAGAGAGCTTATATATCTGCTCTGGGTGTTTAGCTCTACAGTCATAGCTAAGGTTGTGCATATGCGTGAGATGGAAGCAGAAGTAGCCCATAGACAGAGTCCAGTAAGACACATTGACTTTATTCTTCTTTTAATGCTAATGCGTTATAAGTTTCTGAAGTTCAAATGCACATGTACTTTAGTTTTTTATTATTTTCATATTAAAAAGTCAGACACAGCTTGTACTGTGGTAAAGTGGTCACAACGCTGGTGATGTCTGGTTGTGCCTCACAACATCTTCCATAATTTCTCATCTCCAGAGAATGATGTCATTGCTAGCCAAATTTAGGTTCCTCCTGAGGTAAAATAAAGCTTCTGCTATCTGAGATGCATTCGAACGTCAGTAATTTAGACACTTTGGCTATTGGCAATCAATATTGGATCTGGAGCTGACAGTAACTGCCACAAAGCGATGGAAACTGATGTCTTCCAGCCAGTTTGTTTCAAGCGCGCCCTCAAGATCTTCAGTGGATCTCCTCGCTCTACTTTTGGCAGTTTCAAAGTTTCTCTTTTTGCTGATGATATGTCAGGTTTGAGTGCAAAGTTGTCAGAATAATACAAATTTATCGCATCACATAAACTATGTGATGATTTCTTGTTAGTTATATTTAGGGGAAGGAAAAAGAAGTTGTACAGGTGCATTATAGAGTTTAGGTGGAAATATGTACTTGATGTGTCATAGTTAAAAACACACACTGGACTATCCAAACCATGTGT